GTAACTGTAACGGAATACAGTTACTCATATTTTGTATTTTAAATACGTAACGGCGGTACATGTATTCCGTTACTCCCCAACACTGCCACTCCTGTTCCTATCTCAGCTCTGAGTGTTTAAGCTAACGCTAGCTGCTGCATTAAATGATGCCGCTCTGCCCTGCACCTCACACACACTCGCAGGTGTGTCTACACTTTGTGGATGTGATGATACACTTTTTCCTCTGTGTTAGCTTCATGGTGCTTTGGTATAGGTATGATGCAGTGACGTTTGTATAACATACACATATACTTTGACATTATTTTGCATCATCAACAGTAGGACATGCATTTTTGTGACTACTTTATATGTGCAGGCATTGCACAGTGGAGCAGAAACCACTATGTGTCATCCACAAGTCTCCGATCCAGAGACCAAACAGCAATCTGCAGGCTACAAAGACTGAAGATGGTTCAACTGGTATTTTTCATCATTCATGGGGTTGTGAATTCGTGGCACGGGATTAAACTCCCCACTTTTCTTACATATCACATTGTACCCCCTGCAGCTATGTCCTCCTCTCCAAGGTAAAATTCAAGTTGAAGGGCCAGTGTCTCGATACAGTCCTCAGCTGGCGTCCCAGCATGTCCTCTGGACAGTGCATGACATGCATTCAGAACAGGACTTCAAGCAAGCATTTTGCAAGTGACAGGAGCACTTAGAGCAGTGTATCATTGCTGCCTAATACGCCATGTGTTTTCTTTTTATAGGCACAGTCAATACTTTTCGATTCCACCACCTCGCATACGCAGGTGTGTGACAAACGTAAGTTGTAAATGTAGTTCAAGTGTCAACTAGATGACAGTATGAGTAAGGTAATAAAGTTGCCTTAAAGTCTATATTTATCCTGCTGCTGAGTTCACAAAGAGACATATAGATACTGTACACGTGAAATAAAAATCACAAAATCATCAGCTGCATCTTATTAGTCAGTAAAGGCACAAAGTTAGCAGGTGAAGATCCAGTTCTGAGTCTTCATTAAGATTTCTTCTTCCTGGCATTTTGGAAAAGAACAACAGGAAGTAAAAGTCTGGAATTTATATAGCTCGATTTAATATTAGTTAGCTCACAATTTCATACATTCAAAGATACTAATTCATAGATTCAACTATACTACTCAAATGTTATTTAACCTCATGTGAATTGAACACAAGTAAACTGACTGTCAGGTTACTCCATAAAATATGAATTGTACGGAGCCCCGCAGGGGACATGGGAGAAAAAAAAAAATTAAGACGGACTTTTGCGAGATCTCGCAAAACTAACTCGGGATCTCGCAAAACAAACTCGGGATCTCGCAAAAGTTGAATTCCAACAATGGCGGCAGCTACTTAGTTGTAATATCACTCTTTCTGGGTCACAAAATACACTTTTAAGATATTTTGAGGCGTGAATGTAGTTGTGTAAACGTCAGATACCTGCTCGGTTTACAAGACATCACATATTTGCAAAAGTGCTCCGACGTTTTCGGAGATCTGACACCCACTAGCTCGAAGCTAACGGGAGGTCGAGACCTACTACAGCCGGGAGAAACACCGCTTTCCCGGCACATTGTGCCTCGACCTCCCGGTCGGCTTAGCTCGAAGCCGCCAGCTAATTTATTTTTTCTCCCATGTCCCCTGCGGGGCTCCGTAGAATTGTCCTAATGTGTCCTATAATCTTTAGATTTTAGCCACACAGAGCCTTTAACTCACATTCTGATCTCAAATTCAGTGGAAACTAGAGAATTGTGATTAATATTAGCGCAGTTATCCGCTGGGTTTTGGATTGCACTCAGTCTTCACTACAGCTGCTTTCTTTGTAATAAGGAAAAGGAAAACTCAAAACGTCTCTTCAAAGGATATTCCTACTTATTGCACATGAATCTTTTTTTAATCTTGATATTTGAACAAATTTGACTTATTAAGACAGCAAACTGTAAAGAACTGCAGAAAATGAGAAAAGAGAAGAGTGCAATGACATATAACAAAGGTCCCCGGCTAAATTTGAACTCTGAACATTTCAGTTGCACGTTACATGC